ATGTAAATTCCACGAGGCCTGATCTGACTAGATTCCACCCACCCCCAAAGGTGGGGCAGCTCAGGTCATAGAGCAGTTATCCTCTAATCATAAGGTTGGCGGTTCGATCCCCCGCTCCTCCAAAGGAAGTTGCTCCCATTGGCAGGCAGCACCTTGCATGTTGCCATTGGTGTATGAATGTGTGTGTGAATGGGTGAATGAGAAAACACTTTGAGTACCACTACGGTAGAAAATTTACCATTTACCAAAACAGCAGGAAGAGTCATTGCTGCAGTAAAAAAGACATGATCCCCAAGTGGCTTCTCACTTTCCAGAAATTGCACAATTGCCCTCCTGGAACAAGCTGGAAGATTTTGCAGTACAATAGTCTCTGTACTTGGATGCATGTGCAGATCAACATTCTTTTCTGCCAGAAAGTCAGTGTGCTGATAACTTTGGCCGTGGACCTTTTTCCTCTGTATGTGTAATGTATAAATCTCAGAAATAAAGCTTTTGTTGTAGACAATAAATGAAAAGGCCTGTTCAGTGTTCCTACCATTATCACAAAGTCCCTCAACTTTTCAGTCTACTGCTTGAAGTCAGCTTTATTCCATGTTACTGTTTCATAGCTCTTTAGGTGTGACAAGTGGAGCACACCTGTCAACTCCAAATGAGACGATACAGCTAAAAATATAATGTTTAATATTAGGCCTAGCAGTAGCACAAATTCGTTACCTCTAATCAGCTGTGTGTGATTTTTAGGAGTCTTTATTTCATTGGCTTACACAACAGGTTCCTGGGAAACATGTTTGTAGTAAAATGTAGTGCAAATTTTAAAGTTTTAAGAAAAAAATTAACAAAGAAAATAGGATTAAATGACATTTTCTACCCTCTACACTTGTACGAGTATTAGAGGTTTGAGGACATTGCCATAAACAGCTGATGGTGCTGATTCCATAGAAAGAGCTACTGTTAGTCGTTGAAAAAGACAGCATTTCTCGTCTGTTCTGTACATGCATTACTTTGATGGAGGTTAGTTTTCCCATCGCTTCATTCAGACTCTTGGATTTTTACGTTGTCATTTTTTCAGTGCTGTGAAAGCAGACTGAAGTCACATGCTTCAAGTGTCTCTTCATGTGTTTGCCTTTCATGGTACTTCTGTTTGTTTAATCTGTACATAACTGAAGAGTGAAAATGACAAGGACAGACTTACAAGAGGGACTATTTCTTGGACAGGTCCCTAAATATTCATTGGTTACCTGGAAACCTTACGGTGACATCAAGACTTGTAGCTATATGCTCCAAAATGTCAAAGTGGTGTTTTAGAAAGGTTTGCAACATGTCAGACATCTGTAGGGCTTGAAAACATGTGTGTACTTTTCATGTAAATGTTGGAAATAATTCTGGCAACATTTATGAGCACAGTGTATGAATAGTTTGACATCAACGTTTCTGAAACCCCGGCAGTAAGTGCCATTCACTGACCCCTTTTCTTGGAATTCCTGTGCATTCAGCCTCAGTGCATCAGTTTGTGCTATCATTTATAATGCACTGCAGAGTGGAGCGAGGTAGAGAGAAGCGTTGACCTATTTCAGAGCTTTCACTCTGCCATTCTCTTTTTTCCTCTTTCTTTTCTCTTTATCTTGATTTCTCTCACTCCATGACGTCTCTCTTGGGAACAGATCTGTAATTCAAAGTGGATTCCTGTCTTAAGGCTTGCATTGGACTGTGTGGCATGCTCTTTTGCTAATCCCCTCACTCCACATTCTCTTCTAGTGTGTATGTGTTCTCACTGAGTTCAGTAGTTAACAGAGATTGGGAGATGCTGGTCAGGTTTGACAACAGCTGGCTGGCAGAGATATGTGTGCTTTAGTGTGTGTTTGTGTGTTTGCCGAGGGAAGAGAGGGTGTGTCAGGGTGTCTCTTCATCCATGTGTAACCATGTATTTCCCTGTGCATCTGCATCCATGCATGGTGTGTGTGTGTGAGTGTGTATTTGGGTGTGTTTGGGTGTGTGTGTGTTTGTATGATTGGCACCTCGTACCATCCATTTCTGGGGTTTGAACTCCCCAGGGGCAGATTAGCTATTTAGTTGTATAGGGTTGGACTGACTTACCACCAGATGGTTTATGCATAATGTGTGTGTCTGTGTGTGTGTAGTAGGTGTTTGCAGGTTTTGGGTGAAATCTGACTACTGCCCTCGGGCTGAAAAGCTGTTGTGTCCCCTCTGTTGTGAGATAATTCTTTTATTTCACAGCTCATGTATGTTTTGTCCAGAGCATTGCACCATTGACACACTTCATGCTTTTCATTGTACAGGAGAGTTAACACTGTTTTGGCACAATTATAGGATGACCATGATTAGAATTTAACCCCAACATCTGTGGCACTACTTGGAGAATTTCCTGATCACAGTATTTTCTAATACACAAAACCCACATTTGTGCATTCTGTCTGTCAGTCACTGTCAGTCTCTTCATTCAGTTTATTTTCAGACTCTCTTTGAGCTGAAATTCAGAACTAAACTTCTGCCTTTGTTGGGAGATGCTGTGAACTTGCATTTTCTCGTGAGTTTTTTCCTCCATAGCAGTGAAGCTACCAGAACCTTGAGAAAGTGGTGCAGGTTGAACCAGGGTAACAAACACTTTAGAGCTGACTGACTGCGAACATAGTGAAAACTAACAACACTAGCCTAAAAGCACCATCATGGGACACTTTGTGCAGAAGACTGTGTCACACTGGTACCCTCTGATGTTCTGTGCTGATTCTGATACTTTCAAACCTAGTTTCCTGGAAAAACTATTGGCTTATATTTCAGCTATTATAGTGAATATTTCCAATCTGAACATATGGTGAAAAATGGCCGAGTGTTCACTTTTTTTGGTATTGTTTCCAAAACAAATCAACAACAACAAAAGAAGTGGTACAAACTGTAACTTCAAATTGCAACCCACAAATAGCATAAAAATTACATACACCATAACTTATGTCAAATTTAGTGTATGCAAACGAGGCTGTAGCAGTAAAACCCCTGAATGTAAGAACTGAGCAACAGTTTGTCTATGAATTCAAACCACTGTTGAAAAAAAAAGAAGAGAAAAGAATGTATCGTGCCTTCTTTCAAAAGGTACATAGTCTTGCTTTAATAAAAACAATACATTGCTTCACATACATTGTTCATTGTGCTAATTGTTTTATTCATTTGAACAGAAGTTGAATTGCAAAGGTTTAAATTATAATTAATATTTATACAGTAGATTCTGCCACAGTTGACTGAGTGTACCCAGTGTGACACAGTATTGTGTCACATTCTCCACCCTGATTTTCTGGGAGATTTGAAATGGCAACCTTATGGTAAAAACCCACCCCCACACTCCCACGTGATTTCATTCTTCATTTATTCCGTTGTCATAGCTTTGAGCTCTGGTGTGATGTGAAGCAGACTGAAGGACTGATCTTGGTGGGGGATGACAGCATGTGGACAGGGATTAACAGCGAGCAGGTGGTCCTGGTAGGTTTGCCAGAACACAGACCTGGTTATCATGTGGAGGTAGTGGGGGTGTGAATTAGAAAGTCTTGGCTGGCAGGTAAATCTGGGAGTATGCAGAATAGTTTAGAACACTGAGTGCAGAAAAATGTGAATATTGTGTCCATGTTGTCATCCACCTACAACTTCCTGTAGGGTCAGTATGAAGTATCTGTGCAGGTTTATATCTCACTGCTGTGTTTGCCACTTACTGAGAACAAAAAGTCTAAACTTGGACAAAAGCAGAGGAAATGTACAGAATGTCGATGTTAATAACTGCAATGCAAAATTGGTTATGACATATTAGTATCATATCACAAGACGGAGCAGAATCAGAGCTTTGTAAGAGCAATAGTTCTTCACCCATTTTCCCAACATAGTTATAAAAACGACATCTCTACTGCCAGCGTTTTATGGTAAGATACATGTAAAAACACAATTTTAAGATACAGAATAGTTTTTTTCCCCCCTGTAGTATAAAGACTAATACAAACAAAAATAAATATGCAAGTATTATATCAAATGATGGAAGCTCTGGATAGATAAGAGCTTCCACGTAAAGGTTGTGAAATGATGCTGAAAATAGTGCAGGGCTCACAATGTTAATGTGGAAAGTCGGGCTTAGTCACAGACCTGGCTTCATGACCACTGTGTAGTGGTACGTCAATGCCAGGAAATCCTCTAACTCGAGTGATTCACCTTTAGCCTCTGATATGACACATCCTAGTGGAGGATGCCACAAATAAACTGTTAAACTGTGGTTAAATAACAACTTGATTAGGTTTAGAAAAATCAGGGTTTGGATTAGAATACATTTTTTGCTCAGGTTAGAGGACATTTATCATCAAGGTTACAACAATAAACATGTTATGAAGTTTATTACTACAGCCTCTATAGGGCACTGTTACTAGACCGTGAGCATATGTGGTACTGGGGCACATGCTGAAATAACCAATGATGTCTCGCCTGTCCACTAGAAATCCCTTCACAACCTACTTACGCAGCCCATTTGCTACTGCAGGTGTCACCACAATTAAAGAAATGGATCTTAAAGCATCAGCTGTAAAGTTCCTGCTTTCTAATGTTACTGTCATTTTACTGTCAATTTAATATTGCCACAGATCTCACAGCATTATCATTCATTCAGCATATTGTTATTGTAGTAGATGCACCAGACATTTTGGCAAAAACATCCATGTTCCAAGCTTTTGCTTTGAAAATAGAAAGTCTGTCATCCTGTGAAGTAGCCCATGACTGCAGCCTGATCTCACTTTAAGAATCAGTGCCACAGATCTTCTCCTTGGCTTTGTTTCCAGGCTGCTCTCTCAAGGGAGCCACACAGGGACTCAGCTGTGAATGTAGGCCAGAGCCAACACACATCTTTTGCGCCAGAATGCATATGCACAACTACCCAAGTGTTATAGTGTACATGCACGCTGTGAAATCTACTACGCTGTCTTCATTCTGACCTTCTGTCTCTGTGTCTGTACTCACAGGTCTTCAGTGCGGCTGTCAAGAGATCCAACTAGCTAATCAGGAGAGGCGAGGGGCGAGGCCGGCCAATCGGAGAGGAAGAGATGTTGGGGCAGGTCGGGCATGCGGCCCTGGCTCTGATGTCATTACTGCTTCTGCTGTGGCATGAAGCAGCACCCATCGAAGTCCCTCAAGATCGTAAGTCACTGAGCAATTATCAGACCCACTTACACTCATGTACAGAAAACTGCAACGCAAAAGCTGCACCGAAAACTGTCACAATTCATATGGTTAAAGGAGAGCTGGCTCATACAGATGGGTCATAATGACAACAGATAGTGTTGGTATTTTTTAAAAGCAAACTCAAGACCTACGTTTTTCGTCAGGCTTGTGATTGCTTTGGTAGATTGTATTTATTTATTCCTCTTTTTTTTTTAAACTTATTTTATTCATTGAGTTCTCTATTATTCACCTTTTTACATATTCTAGTCTTTTTATTGCGCTGTTTATTACTTTACTTTTATCATTTCTTATTCTGTTTTTACATTTTTTTGTTGTTTGTATTGCTTTTTTCATAGGGCACCCATGTACGTCCATTTGGAAGAGGCAAAGTAGGGTCTAGATCAGGCATTCTCAGGATGTATGTTGTGAGAGATAGCTGTACCAAAATCAGAAGTACACCCCTGATGAGGAGTATGTGATGTCAGCATTACTTGTATACCTGTAACTTTTTCAAACATGGCCAATGCTCTGGTCTGAATATTTACTTGATATTTCGTGAAGTGAAAGCATCCAAAATCTAAAGTCATAAAAAGATCATAGATTTTTGGTGTGAAGCATTAATGACGTCACTCAACAGGTTAGATCAGAACTACTGAGAAATGTAGGGACAAAACAGCTGGATGTGCCACACATTTTGATCATGTGTGCGAGTGTCACATGGATGATGGTGTGTGGAATTTTAATGCAAATGCTGAGCAGTGAGTGAGTTGAGGGTTGTGGGTTCATACCATTGAGTTTGGATCAATCACACCCTATCTGGCCTATCTATGCCTCAGACGTACATAATATCTGCAAATGTTTTCAAACTTTTGTCCTGTCTTCCTCATAGTAGCGCAGCTCATGTACGTTAGCTAAAACGTGACTCATGCTCCATCAGCCTTCTATGTCTGTTCCATTATATTTGCAGTTCATGATAGATTAGCAAAGCTGAGACGCCATGACTGTGGCGGGTTGGTGTGCCGGGTGTTGATCAGTCACTTCAGACAGAATTCAGGAAATGTGTTGCTCAACTGGCAGCTTTCCCTGTTGCTCTTTTAAAATGTGAGCTAAACTGGTCTGATGAATCCAACATCATATACAATAAAGAGCATGTGCCATACAGTAGTCAGTGAAACACAACACCACAAAGTTTAACACTGTCATTTGCCCTGGAAATGATTTCAAATATAGTCTTTTGCACATGGTGCTTCTAGTCCGTGTGACAGAATAAACACAGACACTGAACTCTCTACCAGAGCTGAAACTAGGCATGACTTGGAATCCATTACTTCTTGTGTCAAGAACATTTCTTAACAGCAGTGCTACGTACATTAAAATGAACCAATCTGCATCTGTGATAGGAACACTCTTTCATTGACATTGTAAAGCTGGCTGCACGCTTGTTGGGGCAGACTCCAGTGAGTTACACCAACTGCATCCAGTTCTTTGCTGATGAATGGTTCACTGATCTGAAGGACCTGGGACCTAATCACTTCCTCCTCCTACTTGACACGGCCATCATCATCATCATCTTTGTTTTAGGCACGAAGCTTTTTTAATAAAGGTAATCATTCAAATACCCCATTTACCACAAATATAAAAAAGGTGGAGAATAAAGCTACGGGTTACTGTTGCTTAGGCCTTCAATGAGCTGATGAGGACACATGATGCATGAAAAGATGCAATCAGATTACAGATTACAGATTACACTGCAGGATTGAATGGATCCATTATTTTTGAGCTTGATTGATACTAACCACGAACAGTCAAGATATCTTGATTTCTGCTGCCCTTAATTTTGAAGCGTTTTCCATCTGTCTCTTATCAAATTCTGTGAAGTCTTTAGGTAGACTTAAGTAAATGCTTCCTTAACTTTTTATTTTTGAAACTGACTACTATGCAAAGCTGGAATTTGCTCTTTTAAAAAGTAAATTGGGCAGAAAGTATTTGCTTCAAACTAGTGAATAAAATATGCTCCATTCAAAGAGTAAACTTTATCTTTCCCTTTGAAATGAGTGAACAAAGTTGTAAAGTTGTTACCAACAAGATAAAAATGTACAGTTAGTATTTATTTTTGAATAAATCCTGGAGCTTCAGCAGTGACCACATTAACGTGATTATCATGAAAACGGACTGCTTTGTGTCTCTTGGAAACAGTGTGTCACTTTGAATGGCTTACTGACTGCAAATGTAAAGATAATAGGTTCACTCCTGCATGCACAGCCTAATATATGACATACATATATATCTCCAAAATACACACACACACACACACACAAACTCAGCTGTATCCTCATACCTGCCTGTCCATTATAAATGATGGGACTCTGTTGTTCAATGGATTCCTGAGGGAGGTGTGTACAAAAGCACAAAGGACAAAGGGAGAAGGCATGCTTCTTCTTTCTGTCTCTCAATTCACACACTTTGTTTTCACTGAGAAGACACACACACACACACACACACACACACACACACACACACACACACACACACTTTGTTTTTTTCACAGTGAGGATGGATGTTTCTCAGTTGTACAATGAAAATGTATTTGATTCTTAAAGTGCCCGAA